TGCGAGCATCCCTACGGAAGGCGGACCCTACAAGCGTGACCCGATGTTGTGGCCTTAGTCCGCACGACCTGTGCACTGTGCATCACGAGTAAAAACATCGACCTGTTCACGTAAAAACAGCCGCCCCGCCAATATGCCGATCGACAACTCAGCTACTGTCGCTACGACTGACTATGCGACACCACCCACAACATTCTTTTTTTCATGTCGCGTCCCCGATCGCCAAACATCTTTACATGTGTCGTAAGCCTTGTCGACCACTCGAAATACATTTTCGGCATGTTGCAAGATTGGCCCACACAAATTTTTAATGGGTCTACCACGACAAATTTCGTACGAATCCGCTTGTGACCCGGGCTTAGTTTTGCCAACCTAACTACCGGACTCCCTCTTTTTGAAGGCAGGGAGTCTTGACTCCCTTGTTCAAAAGTTAATTTCTAACCCTGTAACATCTGCTGTTTTGTGCAGTGCCACTTTCGGTTTTAGCATCGTTAAATCGCACATCGCTGGACAAATCTGTCTACTTGCATCAGTAGATGGCGTCAATATTATGGGAAGCATGCTGTTACAGGGAGGTGATCGACAGGAGAGACAGGAGAGGGACACTTACTCAGGGCGTAAGGCAGACAAACAGTACAGACAAGACAAAAAAGTAGTAAGTGTATTATAGTTAGTTCTCTAGCTCACTCTCTCTCTCTCTCTCTCTCTCTCTTCTCTTCTCTCTCTCTCTTCTCTCTCTCCTCTCTCTCTTCTCTCTCTCTTCTCTCTCTTCTCTCTCTCTCTCTCTTTCCCTCTCTCTCTCTCTCTCTCTCTCTCTCTCTCTCTCTCTCTCTCTCTCTCTCTCTCTCTCTCTCTCTCTCTCTCTCTCTCTCTCCCTCTCATCATGCTCCCCATCTCTCTCTAGCTACTCATTGTCACACTCTCTACAAGCTTCAGAAATAAATAGTGTATTTATATAGTATAGTATATATAGTATATATATATATTTATGTGTCAGTGTGCAGCCGCAGCCATGGCGGCACCCGTGCATGTCACTGGAACCCTCTAGATCACTTCACTGACATCCTCGCTCGGCCCACTGCACTGCACCGTGTGATCCCACACTCTATCCCCATCTCATCGTCGGGATTCCCAGTCGCTCGCACCCGCGCGTCCCATCTCACGCATCCGCTGGGCCAGAATAAAAATATTGTTTGTTTGCCCTCACCCGACCGACCTGCCAAAAAGGGGCCGACTCAAAATTTGTTTATAGATCTTTTTTCTTTCTTTTTTTAAACAAATTGTATCACTCTACATTATATAAATCTGTAGGCAATACGTTATATGTACCAAGCAAAACAAACATTCAACATAAAAGGTATCTCCACACAAGCACACCCGAGCATGTAGACACCATGCTGAATTTGTAAAAAGACCCCCGCCCTCAAAAAAAAAGCCCACCTACCTACCCAAACTTTTCAGTCTGGGTCGGGTGGGGGCAAACAAAGATTTTTTTCAATTGTGGCCCTATCTCGTTAGGTCGAAGAGGAGCTGGCGCCGAGGGAGACGGGGGGTCACGCCGCGAGGCAGGAGAAGAGGCTGCTACGGCAGGCGTCCAACCTCGCTCGGCAGCAGAGCCCCGACACCGCCGACAGCGTCATCATGGGAGACGACGCTATCGGGCGGAGGCTGGCGGCGGAGAAGGCGCGCAACGACGCGCGCAGGCAGGTGCGCAGCAACCGCGCTTCCGAGAAGCTGCACTCGCACCAGGAGAAGGAGCGAGAGAAGATGCAGGTGGGTTTCCTGCCGGCGAGTCGGCTGGGGCGTGTCACACGACGTCGCGCTGCCGTCGGCGTCGACGCGATGTTTTTTGAGAGAAAATGTTTTTATGGTTGTCGTCGTTGTCGTCATCTTTTTAGAATGTTTTGTTAAAAAAAAATTGTTTAGAAAAATGCTTGTTTAAAAAAAAAGCGTTTAAAAAATGTTTGTTTTTTAAGTTCGTTAAAAAAGTTTGTTTTTTAAATGTGTTGAATCTCTCTGTTAAGGCACTGTTGGAGATGGCTCGGGCCAGCAAGAGCCAGGATGCCCTCTGGAAGACATAGCATCGTGTTTTGACGGTGTGTCATCTGCCTACCGTGCTGTGTAGACAGCTTCACTCCATCCACTATGTGGCATGCAGGTTTACCTGCCCACCGTGGCGACACAAGCAGGTTCACCCCATCCGCCATGTTGTGACAGGTCGATGGATCTCACCTGCCACGATTTAAATTGAAAGCAGGATCTGCACGCCAAGTACAGACTCTACGTTGATGCGAACTGCTATATGCCTGTGGCAGTATATAAATGTAAATCAGTGACCAGTTACCAGCAGCGAGGAAGCATTAATAAACATTTCATGTAGAATATACGTAGTATTTGTTAATAAAATGCAATTACAATCAAGCAAACATCTTTTATCTTCTCTAGGACTCATGACTGAGCTACTGAATATAATGTGTTTGTGTGTGTGTGGGTGTGTGTGTGCGTGCGTGCGTGCGTGCGTGCGTGCGTGTGTGTGCGCACGTGTGTGTGTGTGTGTGTGTGCGTGCGTGCGTGTGTGTGTGCGTGCGTGCGTGTGAAGAGAGGGGTTATCCATTGTTGCTTTTATTCCTATCTTTATTTAAAAAAAATAAAAAGTAAAAAACAAATGTACTTATCTATAGTTGACGAGAGATGGCGCTGCGGTAAGAAAATCAAAGGAATGAGGAATCCTGTAGAGAATATCATACGTGCAACGTTGAGCGCAACCTAAATTCAGTCATGTCGTCGTCGTTAATACGAAAAGGGTTAGAGTTATTTAAAGACGACCTTCAACTCAGTGGTAGGCATTGCACACCTAACGCACGCAACTAGACATAATCAGAGTCATAGTCGTGGCTACTGAGGCTCATACTCATAGTCATGGGGTCTATGTCCTTTTGCCTTAGGTTACAGCCCCGGAACGTACCCTGGGTACTATCTCAGTATCTGATATGGTTAGGGCATAGATTAGGGTTAGGGAGTAGGCGTAGGCGACTCCCTAGACTCGTTAGTGGAGTAGGCGAGGTACGGTCCGGCATATTTAGATAGTACCAGGTACCGTACGTTCGGGTATAGCCGGACCGTACCCTGGGTACGTCTGGTGTCGCGCGAATATCTGACGAGTGCGACAATTATCCTGAGATTAGCCCCGCCCCGCCCTGACCCGACATGACAGCTCGACTGCTGTTTACGATATAGCCGATTTGTGCACTACATACCAAGGTTCTGTACAGCTGTAGCGAAGGAGCAAGTGTTAGGAGGGGAGGGTGAGGGAGGAGGAAGTTTAGAGAGTTACTACGTAGGGGAATAAGGGAGAAGCTACGGTGAAGAATGAAGTGTAAAGAGGAGAAGCCCTGGCTGAAAAAGAAAGGAGGGAGAAGCTGGTGGAAGAAGGAGGCAGAGGGTGAGAAGCTCGGTGTGAGATGGAGGGAGGGGTGGACAAGCCTAGTGGAGAAAGGAGGAGGAAGGGAGAAGGAGAAACATGATGGCAGAAGGAAGGAGGGGGAGAGGGAGAAGGCTGGTGGAGAGAGGAGGAGGGGGAGAATCCTGCATGGAGAAGGAGGAGAGAGAAGACTGGTGGAGAAGTAGGCAGGAAGGGAGAAGGGCGAGAAGCTGCGTGGAGAAGGAGGGAGGAAGGGAGAAGGAGAAGCTTGGATGGTAGAAGAAGAGGGGTGAGTAAGCGGAGAAGCTGCGTGGAGAAGGAGGAGGGGAGAATGGTGGAGAAGAAGAGGGCTGAGAAGGAGAAGCTGGTGGGAAGCGAGCGAGGGGGGAAGCTGTGTGGAGAAGGAGGAGGGGAAGAAAGCGAGTGGAGAAGGAGGGAGGGAGAAGCTGAGTGGGAGGAGGAGCGAAAGGCCGAGGAAAGGGAGATGGCTTGTGTGGAGAAGGAGGAGGGGAGAGGAGGAGGGTAGAGAAGGTGGTATTCTCCCCTCTTCACCAGCTTCTCCCCTCCTCTTTCACCATCAGCTTCTCCCCTCCTCGTTCCTCCACCAGCTTCTCCCCCTTCCTTCCTTTTCCACCAGCTTCTCCCTCCTCCTTGTCTCACCAGTATTCTCCCCCTCCTCACATTCTCCACCAGCTTCCTCCCCCCCTCCTTTCTCCTCCTCCACGCTTCTTAACCCACTCTCCTTCTCCACCAGCCTTCTCCCCTCATGCTTCTCTACTCAGGCTTATCCCTTTCATCCCTCCTCCTCCTCCACCAGTTTCTCCCTTCTTCCCCTCTCTCCTCCATACCAGCTTCTCCCTTCCCCCTCCTCCTCCGTCCACCAAGCTTCTCCTTGCCCCCTCCCTCCTCTCCATTCTCCCCCTCCTCCTCTTCCATTCACCAGCTTCTCCCTTTCTCCCTTCTCCTTCTCCACAGCTTCTCCCTCTCCTCCTTCTCCACCAGCTTCTCCCCTCTCGCTTCTCCACACCTTCTCCCTTCTCCCTTTCCTCATTCTCCACCAGCTTCTCCCCTCCTCCTTCCACCAGCTTCCCTAACTCCCCTTCACCTTCTCCTCCCCCTCCACCAGGCTTCCCCTTCTCCTCCTCCTCCTTCTCCACCAGCTTCTCCCCTTCCTCCTTCATCACACCAGCTTCTCCCCTCCTACTTCCTCACACCAGCTTCTCCCTTCTCCCCCTCCTTACCTTCATCTACCAGCTTCTCCTTCTTCTTCTCCACCACGCTTCTCCCCTTCCTCCTCCTTCACCAGCTTTCCCCTCCCCTTCTCTACCAGCTTCTCCTTTCTTCCCCCTCCTTTTTTTCCTGCTCACCAGTTTCCCTTTCTCCCCTCCTCCTCCTCCACCGCTTCTCCCTCCTCCTCCTCCACCAAGCTTCTCCTCTCCTCCCTTGTCACCCTTCTCCCTCCTTTCTCCACGCTCTCCCCTCCTCCTTCTCCACCAGCTTCTCCCCCTCCTCCTCCTCCTCCTCCACCAGCTTCTCCCTTCTCCCCCTCCTCCTCCTCCACCAGCTGGTGTCTTAGCTGAAGTGGAAATTGCCATATTTGAGCATATATGCGAAGTGCGCATGCGCATACGCATCCTATATCCTATATCATAGCCTGGGGGCGGGGCTATCTCAGATATTTCGCAAGTCAGAAATTTCGCGCTACACCGGCAGTACCCTGGGGGACATAGACCCTCTCAGCGCTACTGAGTACTGTCACATGTTGTGCACTAGCACAGGCTCTTGGAACGTCTCAATAAAAAAAGTTAAATAAACACGAATTGTATTTACTACCAAAGTCTTAATGTTTCTCTACTCTATTTTGCCTGTAATCACCTGTAAATGCCGGTCAAATGGTCATCTGCAACACACAAGTACACCGCACGCTAGCTGCTGCACACTGACACATAAATATATAAAAATATATTTATGTGTCAGTGTGCAGCAGCTAGCGTGCGGAGGCCAGCGTGTGACAGTGTGTTGCAGATGAGCATTTGGACGGCATTTACAGGAAATTGTCGGCAATAATTATAATAGGTGAAAGAGAGTAGAGAAACATTAAGACTTTGGTAGCAAATAGATTTCGTATTTTTTTAGCATTATATTTTATTGAAACGCTCCAAGTGCCTGTGGGTACTAGTTAGTACTAGTAAAACTACTACTACACAAGAGAGAGCAAGATGGCTTAGGGTTACTCTTATGTTGGGTCCATTTTTGTATCTACCCCAACCCTAACTCTACCAGTACCAGTGACAATGAGTGTAGCCCCTTCGCTGCTGCTACATGACTGGACTGGGATTCTACCTGTAACGGGAGCGAAGGATCGCGAGCTACACTGTCACGGATAGAGCTACCAGTACCCCAACCCTAGCCCGACCAGGCTCTATGACTGTTTGTTTAACGTCGTAGGAGAGCCAGTTTTACCACATAGTTGGAAGCGAGAAGGTAACTTGGGGCTACCCCAATTCTAGCCTAACCATAAACCATGCAGGCTCTATGACTGTTTCACGTCAACGTGGCCACATAGCGCAAAGCAAGAAGTTGCTAATGTGCGTGGCTACTCTGACACACACTCGATCCTCTCCTAAAATTAAATAGGCAATACGTACAAGTTGCATAATGCGTAAACCAATAAATTGTGGCATAGAAATTTATATAATTTGACGATATTCTAGGATGATCCTCACAATTTTATTATACCTTGTCTTTAGTCTTGCCACATCTGCAGAAAATGGGTGTAGGTAGAATGTGAAAATAGCATAGTTTATAAGGCAGGTTGTGTGCGCAATGTAACACACTACCAATATTTCACAAATATATTTTAATTCAATCAAAATCAAGTTGACAAAGTGAAAAAAATGACAGTGAATGAAGTTGTAGATTCTCTGGAAACATTTGACTCAGAGAGACTGGTCTTTTTTCAGATTCAAAGCCGAACAAGCAGAAAAGCAGACCATTAAGTAAAGAACAGATTCTGGGCACCTGTAAACAGGGACAGAAGAACAAGCTGAAGCGAATGAAACGGAAGCAGATGCAAGCAGCTGCAAACAATAAAGTTATCAAATCTGCATTTGGTAATAAATACATTATTACCAGCTATATAATTGCATGTGTTTGTGCGTGACTGTGTATGTGCGTGTGCAATAAAAATTTACCCAGGTAACAAAGGGTATGTACATAATGAAGTATATATGTTAAATGCATAATTAGGATTTAATACCACTAGATGGCAGCAATGCATTTTTCAAACTCGATTCGAGCAAGGTCATTTGTCTGCCGTCTCCGATAATTCCTATTTCACTTTGTTTTCCAATCTGAAGGTTCTTATTTTCTAATTATTAATATTTACAATTTTTTATAATTTACCTGTAACTTTTCAGAGGAGCATAAGAAGAGGGCACTTCCTGATTACACAAAAGATAACCTCTATTTCATCAAAATGTTAGAACAAAACAAAATCAAGTCATCAAAGGTTGATAAGGTATGTTCTTGTCTTAGTTTTAATGTTTAGTAGAATTTTACTAGCTTCTCACCAGAATAATGATAAAAATTATTCATAACTTTCAAATATTATTGTGTTTAAAATGGTTTATAACATCATTGGCTCATGCCAAGAGACCATGAGCACACAGTCACGCAATTGTTTTCTTTAATAATATTCATAATCAAAACTTTACGATTTACAGTCATTAGTATGCCTATGATCGTGGAGAAAAGGGATAATGTTTTAAGAGACACTGCATGCTTTATGCTTTTTTCGTTCACAATTGTTTCAGATATTGGAGCAACATTCTCGGAAACAGATCAGGGACACTGAAGGTCAAACAAGTGCAGAAACGAAACCCGAGAGCACCGTGTTTGATGAGAGTGACTTCAGCAAGTTCGAGAAAGAATTTAATTTCACCTAAATTATTGTGTTTACCTTGCGCCATGTAGCTTGTAAATATTTATTATTATGTCTATAGTTGACATTAATCTGGTTGCATTTTTTAGATATTCAATTGTGTGTAATATGATTTTTATCAGAAATTATTCTTTTCGTATGATACTGTATTGTGTATCAAAAATAAAGGAATAATTATTGGTTATAGGAAAGAAGTGAGTTCTTTGTAAACGGTTGGACTTCATCTTTTAAAGAGAATTTCTGAAAACTGTTTCTTTTGTTTGCTTCACAAAAATGCTTTAAAAATTCACAAATTCTCAGTAACACCACCAGTTATGTAGGCCTAACTAATGAAACTCGATTGAAATATATGTGTTTAATAGCAATACCTATAACTCTGGAGTAATTGCTTGCTAGGGAAATTAGAAAAAAAGATTGGGGGAATTGAGAGTATACTCTGAAGGAAGAAAAATCTTCCATCTACGTTTTCCACTTCCAATTCATTTTTAACCATCTTCTCACCCCCTCTGTCCTTTCTTCATTTCACTCCTTTAACCTCTTTATCTTCCCCTTCCCGTCTACCTTCTCTACCAAACACACATACTTATCCGTCATCCACCTGCTCCTCTCTCCCCTTACTTTCTATTTTGCCACCATAGTCTCCCTTCTATGCAATCTTGATCTTTTTTCCAGTCTCTTCTCCACCTCATTCACACGCCCCCTCCGTCTTTGTCTTATCTTACATTCCTCTACACCGTTTACTATTTCGCTGCCCAGATTTTTCAATCCAGAGGTTATTTGACGTTATTTCGCCTGACGTTATTTCGCCCAGACGTTATTTTAATAATATCTTGCGTTTTTCACTATAGACGCCGTTGGGTGGCGCGCATGTCAACAGCAACAACCTCGTTGCTTCGTGTGAAAAACCTGCTCCTACTCTATCTTGTAAACCAGTCCTCGGTCGTAAATAAGTCCAGGTTAACCCTTTAGTCTTTACCTCGGTCACCCTACGCGGTGTCTTCGGAAGCACCATGACGTCCAATTCTACGAAAAAGTTTATAAATTTACCAGAAAAGTGTGTCGATGATGCGTTAGAAGGGTTTGTGCAGTCGCATAATAATGTTATGCTCGTGGAAAACCACCGGGTTGTCGTGAGACAAGACGTTGCCAACTTGAGTAAGGCTGGGAAAGTAACGTTACTCGGAGGAGGTGGTGCAGGCCATGAACCAGCGTTTGCAGGTCATTATCCATTAGACAACATTTTTTATATAAAGGTGTTGGTTGTTGTAGACTAAGCGTACTACTACTAGTAGTAGTACTACTTACTCAAAGTAGTAACGCTCATTCCCTTGAACCACTGACTACCTCTATCCATAGATGACAAACAACCAATTCTCTTCAATAAATGTCATTTATTGTTATTTGTTGTAGCACTGGGGTATACCGCTGAATAACTCCGATTGCCTGCTCTGCTTCGTCATAGTGTAACAAACTAAACGGAGCAAAAATACGTCCTCTCAGCCGTGGTACCCCAAGCTGAATGAAAGTAGTAACGCTCATACTCATACTCATACTCATAGGCCGGGTGAGACTACGGGTCTATGTCCCCCAGGGTACTGCCGGAACGTACCCTGGGTACGGTCCAGTATACCGGAAGGCTGTTGCTCCTGCGACGGTACCGTCGCCGAATTTTTTTCTCTTCAACTCACGGTAGTGATGCCAGCGCCATCTATCGGCGAATAATAACTACCGTTGCTTTTGGTACGATATTATATATACGATTTTATACGATATATACGATAACCCTAACCCTAACCCTAACCCTAACCCTAACCCTAACCCTAACCCTAACCCTAACCTAACCCTAACCCTAACTCTATTAAATTAATAAAATTTAATTTTTAATTGTTGTAAAAATTAATTGTTGTTATTAAAATGTTGTAAATAAATAATGTTAATATTTGCGTTAATTGGAAAAAAAATGTTAAACAGATAAAGATAGAAAAATACAGAAAACAGGAAAATAATTAGAAAACGGATGGGATTCGATCCCGCGACCATTCATACTTGGGGCAAGCGCTCTACCCGTTGCGCTGCTGCCACATATTGAAATTAAAATTTTGGATGTGCTATGTATATCGCAAGAAAACAAGCTCAACCAATCAGGCGTCAGTACCGTCAGTACCGTGAGTTGAAGAGAAAAATAATCGGCGACGGTACCGTCGCAGGAGCAACAGCCATACCGGAACGTAACCTGGTAACTATTTGATATGGTTAGGGTTAGGGAGTATAGGCGTATAGGCAACTCCCTAGACTCGTTAGTGGAGTAGGCGAGGTACGGTCCGGCATATTAGATAGTACCAGGGTACGATCCGGCAGTACCCTGGGGGACATAGACCTTCTCAGCCATAGTAACGTTCACACAAGGTAACTAATAGTAATATGACACCCTTGTTTAACTTGTTCCAAGGGCAGATGAAGGATAGTTTGGGACCTCTGCAATATGTTTTCGTATGTAGTATTTAGCTTTCTGCCCCAGTAATCATTCACTTATTGTATCCCCCGAACGAGTTCGGGGGGATACTATGGATTTGGCCTCGTAGCGCCGCCGCCGCAGAGATTTCCTTGTGAGCGCTCTACCGGCTGCAGTTCTTCTCGGATCATCTTCAAATTTCGCATGAAGGTGCGTTATTGTGAAGCGGAGCCACACAGGACCAATATATACATATATATATATAGGACATGTTATATCGGCCCTGTGTACCAAATTCCATGACAATCGGGTAAAAACAGCACAAGTTACAGGTTCTACAATATTTCCACAAAAATGTTGTTACCATGGCAACGATGACTCCGCCCACACCAAAAACGATTGGCGTCTTCGCTTTACCATAAAGCACCTTCATGCCAAATTTGAAGATGATCCGAGATCGGGTAAAAACTGCAAAAGCTAAAGGAAAATGAAATTATTAAAGGAAATTATGGCACCTTTCATGCAAATGCATATTTAGATGCAAAAGCATTGCAATATGGATAAGTAGTTCCAACAATATTTCCTGCTTGTCAGTGTAATGGATGCATATATTTGTATATATATATATACCATATTACCCATCGGCCAGATGGGTTTGACATGCACCGCCCCCCCCATCCACCCACGCACACACATAAAGGCACACACATACACACACACAAACACACACACAAACACACGCACACACACACACATACATACTGACTGAGGGATGACATTTCCCCGCGCATGCGCGGAAGGTGTGCACAGTACCAAAACCAGGTCACTGCAACCTTCATTTCACCTTTACCTTGACCTTGATCATATTTCCCTTCCGCTCTGTAACTCGGCCCCTAATTCACCTAGCGCTACCAAACTTGGTATACTTACACATCTTGGGGAGAAGGTGTGCAGAGTACCAATACCAGGTCACTGCAACCTTTATTTCACCTTTACCTTGACCTTGATCATATTTCCCTTCCGCTCTCTAACTCGGCCCCTAATTGACCTAGCGCGACCAAACTTGGTATGCTTACACATCTTGGGGAGAAGGTCTGTCGCATACCAAAACCACCACTGCCCTTGACCTTAGTTTGATCTTGACCGTCGACTTACATTCCTATTCGGCCTCCTAGGGTAACCAGATTCCATATACTTGCACATCTGAGGCAGACCAGTTGTCTAACAAACCTTTGTCTTTGTGACTTATTTAACTTTACCTGCCTTCTACGTCCTTACAGAGATATTCCATTCATACTAGATCACGGGGGATACATGTAGTTGGCGACAACTGCTCATTTCTAGTTTATTTATTTATTTATTTATATACTTATTTGGTACCCTACGGTATAACTGGGAACACCCACTGACCCAGCAGCAGCACTAGCAGCAGCAGCAGCAGCAGCAGTTAGGTGATATGTATAGCCAATTATACACGGTAGCCGTTTATTAATTTATTTATTTATTCATACACTCATCCTACATAAATAACATACATTTATAATTGATAATGGTAGTCGGTCATTGTCATGGACATTGATTGGTATGTTGATGAAGCTGAGAAACTGAGCTTGCAATCCACTCACTGTCAATGCACTGTACAATAAAACAAAGGTGCTAAAGTGAAAACACCATCCTTCACTAACTACACTATGCCTGACCCTAGTAAATAGACTGATGATCACCCTGCCTACGCTGACATAGTCTACTAATGGTAAAGCAGCACTTGGACAGAGGGGAAGCAGGGTAAAGGACGTCGGTGCCAATCCATCCCACTTTGTACATTGTACCCCATTGTATTTATACATTGTATTGTATTGTAGTGTATTGTATTGTATTGTATTGTAGTTATACATTGTAGTACTATATGCTGTATGGATTAGTTATGACTTCACATGTCAGAGTATGATAAACTTCTGTCCCATTAAAGTGCCTGTGTCATCTTCCCCATACATTCTGTATCGCTAATTTCTATGGCTGTTACAGTATATAACAAACTGCATTAGTCATAATCTCATCTACTCGAGCCAGTTAATATTGTCCGTTCAGGAAAGGTCGTCCATTTGCTGAAGTTCTCTAAATTAACCATTGGGGTTAATTTTGCAGGTTTCGTTGGCGTTGGTATGTTGACGGCTGCCATCTCTGGGGCTGTATTTGCATCACCTCCACCTAGTAGCATTCTAGCAGCCTTGCGGGCAATTTCTTCACCTGCCGGTGAGTATTTAACATCGTGTCATAAGACATATCTGCTGATGTGTGTGTCATCTGGTCTGTGTCATCATACTGTCATCAAGTCTGTGTCATCATATTCAGGTAGTTAATGCCTCATTTAATGTTGCTATGTTTTTTACTGCTCGTTTGTATGATTAGCACTTAACCGATCAATTAACCATAAGTCATCATTTGGTTGGTAATTGCTAGCACTCTCAGAATTCTGCTAAAGTAGAGACAAAAACTCAATATGCTAAAGTTCTGGGGCCCGTGGCCAAAACCAAAAGTAACCTGAACATTCGGCTTAACACAAACTTTTTTTCGTAGACCGGACCTCCATACACCACCTAAGAGAAACTCGTAACTCTAATTTAATTTAAATTTTACTTGAATTTTTTTACTTTAAACTTTTAAATTTAAATTACCGTATTTCTATCGATCAACGATCTACGAGAAAAACGTCAAAGTGACGACCAATGTTAAAACTAATTTCGTTTCTGACGACATGGTCCCCTGGAACCACGATCTTCCGGCACGAACAAACGCCGCCCACCGCACGACTTCCATCCTGTTTCCCGTTACGAAAATTACAAATCGTAAAAATTAAGATTCATTTCAAGATTTCAAGATTTTTGCAAGAAAATTGATAATAAATATATAAACGATAATGTTAAAAACTTCCCGAAATCCTTCGCAGGAATGCTGATGATCGTGTTGAACTACACCGGCGATCGCCTGAACTTCGGCATCGCGGCCGAGCGCGCCAAGGCGGAGGGCATGCGCGTTGACATGCTGTTCGTCGGGGACGACTGCGCGCTGACGAGCGGAGACAAGAGCGCGGGAAGACGGGGCCTGTGCGGCATGATCCTCGCTCAGAAGGTGACCCTCGGAAATTGCAGGAAAACCACTTAAAAGTTACGGTTGTGAACGTTTGCATAACACGTTATGAGGCTGTGTATTATGTGAACAACGATGGGCTGAAAGTTAAACGGTATTATGTAGCCGATGTTTTATTGGGTCAAAAAAAGATCCCCATGTTGTAGGCCTACTGCTGTGTGCTGTATGAGGATCTAGGTTGATTTCGAAATGCTTTGCAGATGGCAGGTGCTTTGGCGGAGATGGGCAAGTCATTAGAAGAGGTAAAGGCTACAGTGACAGCTGCAGTGAAGAACATGGGTATGTAGGGGGGCAGTTTGTGTAGAATTGTGCTTAGTAATATTGCAGTGTGCGATTATTTCGTGTTGAGAGGAAGTTCGTCTTAGTTCCTTCTCTCCTCGTGGAGAATAGGGCTGGAGGAGAGGAAGTTTTAGTGTCATTTTGTCACCTCTCAATACATATTGTTTTCTAGATAAAAAAAAAACAGTATTCTGATGTAACATGAAGATCACGTTAAACTTTATTGTAAAGTATATGATTACATTGTATATCGGAGATGCTTTCTTAGAAGCTGTTGGGAGATTTTTCAAATTTCCCATACCATGACTTTAGTCACTACAGGTGGCAGCACTGTCCAATACCTACAGATTTAATTTAGTTATAACAATATTTCTTTATTTAGGAACAATAGGGTTGAGCCTCTCGCCTTGCAGTGTTCCAGGACATGGACCAACATTTACCATAGGCGAAGATGAAATGGAATTGGGATTAGGTAATAATAAAAGTTGCTGATTGTATTTTATTGATTTTCAAAATATTACCGTACAACATTTGAAATTTTCCTTAGTTTCTTCTGTTTGTCCATCATGTAACCTAATAATCTTATAATAATAAAACGAATGGTGACCAATTTTGGTTTAATTCTACTATGGGATCCAGGTACGTGTTGCTACCTCTGATTGTAATTAGGAGGTTTGATTTGCAGGTATTCACGGTGAAGCAGGTGTTCGAAGGATGAAGGTATAACATCTAATTAAAAACTACTAACAAGAACATAATAGATACTTTTTAAAAGCTACTGACAAGAATAAAATAGAAAACAACTCAATAAGGAAATTCCAAATTCTGTTCTTATAAATATATTGCAGGAGTTGATTGGAATTAATGAACATGTGATCATGAATGTAGTAGAAATGCAGTCGCCCTTATTTAAATTGTAATGTTTTAAACTGATTAAACTTGTGTTATTCTATTTATGATCTATATGTGTATTTGCAAAGTATCTTTATTTTTAATTAGCTCTTGCCAGCAGCAGAGACTGTTTCAGTCATGTTGGACCATATGCTAGACCAGAAATCAGCCACTTGTTTTCCATTAAAATCAGGTAGGTTCACGCGCAGCTAAATATGTGGTGTCAGATTCAACACCATAAAATAGTGAACTCGTGTAATGCAATATACACTTTACTTCCGATTTAGCCAACACATTTCTGCTTACTTGTTGAAATTCTCATCACTTGCTATACTCTCATTTCATTGTTTCTGCATAATAGAATATACGAACTTTACGTAAGTTAGTAACAGACTATCACAAGGTATTGTGTGGTTAAACATGTGATAATCGTTTGTATCTTTAACATAAGTGTCTAACAACCCCAAAAAATAATGCTTTCTATTTTTGGATAAAAATATAATGGGCACTATACACCATTTTCAGATTTTTAAAGTCACTTGCATGTCGTGTTGTAGCGTTGCAACTGGAATCGCTAATTTCAATTTTAATTTGGTGAAATGACGATGTCTGGAATTGCAGGGGATGCTGTAGCGCTAGCAGTGAACAATCTTGGAGGAACGTCCGTGTTAGAGTTGAATATAGTCACCATGGAGGCCCTCAGATATCTCGGTAACATGACCTAACGTGTTTGTCTTAGCCGGCTAACCCTTGCTCCTCTCTTCGTTTGTAAGACAGAAAATCTTATTGAACTCATTGATTTTATTGATTTTATTGAAGCTTATTGATTTTGCTATAGGAAGCTTCTCCAGTCAGCCTTCTTGCTAGGTGGCTGGGAGAGGTTGCCTTATAGTAGTGCAGTACTGCATCATAGACGTACAGATCTGTTAACGAGAGTCGATCAGCATCAAGTTTTACTCTCCTAATATACCAATCTTGGTGCTAATATCAATACCAATATATATATATATATATATAATAATCTTGGTACCACATCGGCATATCCAATATTCGGAGTGTAGAGATAGAGAGTTAGATGGATTGTACTGTAAACTGTATTGAGTCCATCATATCAAGATGTTTCAGTTTTGACAAATTTCCCGCTTCAAAGACCCGTTTCGACGTCGGTCCATTACGTAACACCAGAGGTTAATAATGACAAATAATGTCATTATTAATCGCTGGTAACGTGCTGCAAATGGCGGCGAATGTGGCTGCGTTTCTGCGCGGGAAGTCTCATGACTGACGTGAGTGGTGTTGGTGCATTGCAGAGAAGAAGGGCGCGGCGGTGGAGCAGGTCTACGCCGGATCGCTGATCACCTCGCTCGAGATGGCCGGATTCTCGCTGACCCTGCTGCTGCTTGACGACGTCCGCAGATCCTGCCTGAGTAGGTGTCGCCTGTGTGTGTGTGTGTGTGTGTGTGTGTGTGTGCGTGTGTGTGTGTGTGTGCGCGTGTGTGTGCGTGAGCGTGCACGCTTCTGTTTGCACGTATGATCTCCAGGGTTGTTGGCGATTAACGATCTAAGCTGCTCATTTGCAGACCAGGTTACTGAAGCTCCGGCGTGGCCTCACGTATTCTGGAACGTTCCGCGCAACAATAATCTTCCCAAGCTGAGAGAGCCACAGAGCATCGCGGCTGCCCAAACAGCCGAGCAGTCTAACGCAAAGCTTACCCCTGGTGAGAACACTCGCACTCCTGACGTGGAACGTGGCAGAGAATAAACGAACAGCAAACGAATAGTTTCTTGGAGGAAGGGGCGAGGAACGGGGGAACATCGAAGCATGCGCGTGCGCTCGCGTCGTCACAATTTCGCAGAGAATAAACGAACAGCAAACGAATAGTTCCAAGGGGGTGGGGGGCGAGGAACGGGGGAACATCGAAGCATGCGCGTGCGCTCGCGTCGTGATTTTGCATCGAAACGTGTCCCGACGCCAGTTTTTTTAGTGCCGTTCTCGTGTTTTTTCGTGTGCAGATGGTCGGGATGCCCTGCAGAGGGCGGTGCGGAGCGCATGCGAGGCCCTCATTGCTCGTCATGACCATCTGAACGCGCTGGATGAGGGATGCGGCGACGGAGACTGCGGCAGCACCATAACCAGAGGAGCTAAAGGTGTGCGCTTGCTGGAGGGGGGTTCGAGCACGATGTCATTGTAGCTTCAGTACTGTCGTGTTTGTGTTCATGTTGCCAAGCCCATCCTATCCTCTTTTGTTCGTCACTCCTTGAATCCTTGAAATCTGTAATTGATGTAAATTTAATACTGTAATTGAGTAAAGTATTGCACGTGACACACACACGGGAGGGGTGAGCACGATGTCATCGTAGCTTCAGTACTGTCGTGTTCGTGTTCGTGTCGCCAAGCCCATATCATATCCTCTATTGTTTGTTACTCCACTGAATGTGGTTACCGAAATGTAATTGATTTTAAAATGTGTTAGTGTGTGACACAATGTGGCAATGGCGCAACATGGCTTTCTTAAAGTGCTTTAAGGCAACTAGCCTTTAATTACTATCTATTACTATTTAAATTTGATTTTTTAAATTATTTATTACTTATTAATT